CTTGTAATTTTGTTTTTTTTAAAAAAAAAAAAAAAAGGAATACAAAGAACAGAAATACCACAGCACAGACAAGGGTTTGGTATCCTCCAGCCAAATAGCAGCCTAAGGCAGAGTAAAGGACACATAGTGAGGGGTAAATATGTAGGAGATGGAAGGTGGAGGAAGAAAGGAGTAGTGGAAGTAGATGGTTGACACAGTAGGAAGAAAAGAAGAGCACCCCGCATCTAGGAAAAAGATATCTGCAGAGAAATTAGCAATTCCTTTGTGGCTGGGAGTGAATTCGGGAGGGTAGAAGGTCCATATGGCAGGCAAGGGGTGGCTGCAGGAGCCCATGTGCACTGTAAGGGCCAGGCAGCTCTCTGTCATTGCCTTAACTGAAGGTGCCTTTTGTGTAGGTAGTCTATTTGTTCAGTGACGGGAACAAAAGTACAAGCAACTGTATCCAATGTCAGAATTCCTTATAATTGTAAAGGTAAGAAAAACAGGGCAGTACTTCACAGACTGCATTCTTTTCTAACACTCCAGTCTGGAAGCATGTCTTGTTTTTACTGTGGGAAGCAGTAGGTCTCCCTGGACAGTGGTGGTCCCAAGCCCATTGCTTCCTCTGTCCTTTAGACTATGACCTTGGGCAGGGCACGGTGCTGTTTTTTTGCCCTAGCTGCTCCTCTGTGAACTGTAGATGATAACAATCTCCAATTTTGTAAAGTACCTTGAGAAACACAGGAACAATCTGTTCATTTTTGCCTAGCCATGCTGTTAATGGTTTAAGTTGCCTGTTAGCTTCTTAAAGAAAGGTTGAATAAGGCATGGCATTAAAGTTTTCAGGGAATCATTTAAAGGAACAATTAAGTAATTGTTTTTATATAATGTGGTTGCATATCCTGTGTAGGTTATCCTTCTATTTTGTAGACATTAAAGAGCTAAGTTTAAGTTGCTTCATGTCAGCAAAGGGTAGTAGAGTCTTGCAAACTGGCGGCGTGGTCCACAGCAGAGACATCTCAGTGCAGGACCGGGGTAGACAGATAGAGGGAAAGAAATGCAGAGACTGCGATGTAGTGAAGCACCGTTGTCTGCTTAGAGTGGTCTGGTTTAGGAGAACAGCTTTAGCCTGATGTTAATCCTCACACACATCACAATTCAGAAAAAAAAAAAATTAATATCACATTAACTGGATCAGAAGAAATGTGAAAATTCATGAAGGTTCTCTATATCAGGCAATAGATTAAGGAGAAATGAAACACGACATTGAGATTGAAGAAAGCAGAAGTAAAGAATGAGATTGTTAACTAAACATCATGTGTACAGTAAGTTTCCTTAAGGCTATAGTTACGCAGTGACAGTACAGAGATGAAAACATCTCTTTCAGTCATTTGGGCATTTCTTCCTTGTGCTGTAGTACTGTCTGGGAATTAAGGATCACGTCTCTCTTGCTGTGGTCATTGCGTAAAGATCCAGCAAGGTACTCACTGCCAAAACTGCTTGCAAACTTGGGGGGTGCAAAAAACCACATGCTGATTTGAAATTCCCTATGTAAATGGGTATCTGTTATGCTATTATAGCATCAGGTGGAAATATGGTTACTAGTAGTATATTAAGCGTTACAAATATACAGCTATTAGAGTAGCATGAGTTTTCCTGAGGCGAGAGTAGTGATGGTATTTTCCTAATGAGTCAATTTGTGAACATGCAGAGAGTATATTCATCACTAATCTCCTGCATCACTTAGAGGAGATGAATGCTCAAATCCTTGTCCTTGTCTGAATAATAACAAGTTTCATGTGCCATTTTCCTTGACACTTTGTTTAGATTTTTTTAATATTTATAGGCAGCAAGTTCAGAATACTTAGAATAATGTATCAATTCTTTCTCTTTTTGCAGAGGGAAACTAAAGGTCAGTTTCTCATAGATCACATCTGCAACTATTACAGCTTGCTGGAAAAAGACTATTTTGGCATTCGATACGTTGACCCTGAGAAGCAGAGGGTATGTATATGAACTCTGACTACATTTGCTTTTAAGTAACGCTAAATTGATTTTTTTTTTTTTAATAAGCAGGCAAGTGCTAATGCAAGGTTATGTATCTCTGAGGCTTTATACTCTGTCCATAACCCGTAGACGTTCATAAAGTGGCATTATTAAATTAATTTTCACCACAGTTCCTGTCTTTAATTTCTGGTAACATTGGCATATTCTGATTTGTGGTGTTCTCCTGAGCACTGAAGATAGAACAGATCTGTAGGCATGACTCAGAGGTAGCACAGGGTAGCTCTAGGCTCTAGCAGTGCTCTGGAATTTGGGATTTCTATTTTTCTGTAGAACATGCTTCTTGGGAGATGTAGGCAGGAATCTGATCGAGTTTAACAGCTAAAAGCAGTCACTGTATTCCACTTTTCACAGGGCACATGGACTTAATAGATATCTGTAATACACAAAATAGATACCATTTGTCTGGTTGGGGGGAGTTCTTCGGCTTAGTTCTACCTATGACCATCTTTTCGCAATAAAACTAACATGCCTGTGCTCTAGGCATTTGTGTGGACAGTGATTAGTCATCTCTTAGGTGGAAGGTGGTGCTGCAGGTTGTATTCTGTAGGTGATTTGGTACAGCTACTCCTTGTTCGGTTTCAGATGATTGTTACTGTTTGAGAGTAGGAAAGGGAGGTCAACACAGGAAGCAGAAGCCCTCAGGCAGTGAAATTCAGAACTGCTTCTTCACTGTGTGGTCCTGCAGGTCTCAGGATTAAGGCTTAGATATGACTTTAAATATCATGGGGGCATATACTGGCATTTAATCTCTGGAAACCATGACCAGTTTGAAACTGCTGTGATTCAGGAGGAGAAAAACATTTTGCTGGGTAACTCTTGATACAACCTGATTAGTTTTGTCAAAAATCGCTGGAGCTAGGGAATCACCCTCTGCTCAACCTTAGAGAATGGCAGTAGCTTTGCAAAGCTGCAGCAGGTCATTTCCATTCCATCCCCCTTTTAAAATTAAAATAATTAGCATAATAATTAGCAGTTATTCTGACCAGTGTACTTAAGTCTTCATGATCATTAAAATTATAGAGGTGTTCACCTGGTTGGAATTGACAGGAGAAGTAGGTGGAGTGCTGGATTAGACTATAATTAGGTAGGACTTAATGAATACTTACTTTTGTTGGGCCTTGCCTTTCTCTGACAGTCACCCAAAAATTGCTGTAGAAAAGTTATTTTACTTAACAGCAATCAAGAGGGTTTTTTAGTAAAAACTATTTTTTTTGGTAGGATACTTCAAAAAAAGTGATGCTTCAGAAGAAACCCTGAAAACCCACTCCCATTGGGATGCCTGTTTTATCACACCTTATCTGGTTCCCATGTTTCAAAGAGCTGTCAACTATATTGACAACTTTGTTGCAGTAACTTAGTCTTGTTGGCTATACAGTTTTCTTTTACATCTTGTAATATAGCTAATTCTGTGTTAAGTTTCTGGAAGATTATACTGAAGCTTAAGTTTTCTTTTGGTTACTAGTGAAAGACAATTTGAGAAAACAGTTATGTTCTTACCTAAAAAATCTTAGGTCTTCATTTCCCTGTATATCCAGCAACTAAGAATTCTGTGGCCATCCTGTGTTGTCGGATGGCTTATCTCAACTGGCCCACTCTTCAGCTGGATTTTGTTAAGCAAACTTCTCAAGCTTACATTTTCCATACATGCATTTTTAAATGCTGATTTATAATTACTGTCACGTTTTTGAGCATATGGGTAACTTCTCTAATTGGGTATTAGTTCTTGATTTTAAACTCTCTTATGAATTAGGACATTTCTTTATACAGACTTAAATGCTCTGGATGATGAGTTGAAAGCAACGTACATTTTTCTCTTATGTTTATTTGAATTCATCAAAGTAAGCTATTTTTACATACAGTATCTTCTGTTGTCCCTTTGTCTTGTTCTGGTGGTTTTTTTCTTTTTCTTTCTTTTTCTTTTCTTTTTTTTTTTTTAAGGTAGCACTTCTAAATATTTATACGTAAAATGCTTTCCCTTGGAGTAGATATTTGCTCTGCAGCAAACCCTATCCTGAGGACTAAACTGCAGACAAATGTTGTAATAAAAGAATACTGGTTTTATGTCATCTGGCTCTTTTGAATCTCTGAACTTGCTGAGGTTCACTTCCCTGCATCTTACCTCTGTATCCGATACAGATGCATGAATACCTCCAAGTCAGATGCAGGAAGACAGTGAAACTCTAATTACAGTTCTTCTCCCATCAGCAGAAGACAGTTCTGATCTTTTTCTGATCTTAAAGAAACACACTAGCCAACAACCTCCTAGTAGTATAACCATGAATATGAATAATTACGCTGAGGCCCAGGCATCGTAGCTAGATAAAGCCCATCAGTAGATGGCTCAGTAGAAAACTAGAGGAAATCATGATTTTGAAATGATGAGGTAAGTGATGGCTCTTCCCACAGTTTTGTGTTTTAGCAGTTGTGAGCTTAGCTGCCTGAAATTCACCTTAACACCCTCCCCCCGCCCCGAGATTACAGAGCTGTAATTGTTTAAGAATGTGGTTATAGAGAGCTGTAGCAAGTATAAGAGGTAGTGGGGTCACAGGAGGAATGTCACATCATTGTAGCCACAGGAGTGTCTCTCTTTCTTACAGGAAAGAATACTTAGAGCTCTGTATAAGAGATTTCTGAAGCTCCGTAGAATTCTTGCAAGTCCCACCAAGGTAAAAAAGGAGGGACATTTCCTGCAGTATGTTCTTATGGGTTGGTTAGATGTATTACAAAACAGAAACAGTAGCTCAGTAAAGATCTGCAGGTGGAGTTCACCAAGAGCTTCTTTCTGTAGTAACTAGTAGTAATTTGGTGATTTGACTGGGAACAATTGCTTTGAAGGGAGGCGATAATTCCTCCCAAACCAGTTCAACAATGTGTGTGACAACGTACTTCAGTGCCCTGTAGGTAAATAAAGAGATGTGGGACAATGAATAAAATGAATATTGCCTGGTCTGGTTTTGGCAATAAGGCACCAGCATGATGTGGCTATGATAAAAGTCAACACGTTGTTACAATCCTTTTTGGGATTGTATTTTCAGGAAAGCGTTAATGTCATTACACAATAAAGAGACCTCAGCTATTCTGATCTAGATGTCTGCATTTAAGAAAGATCAATTTAACTGAACAGGAAGGAGGAGTATTGGAAAAACAAAGAGAACAGAGAGTTTGTTTTTGAGACAATGTTAAGAAGAGTGTAACCCATTTAGTGCAGCAAAACAAAGGATAAGAGGATATGGTTATACATGCATCAGAGTGTAAAGTAGAAAGAAAAAGAAAGTTTAAGCAAGAGAGATGGTTTCTTAATTAAGCCAATGACAGCTGCTGTTTGGAACAGCCATAGTGGAGGCAATGGGGCGAAATTTTTGACTAGAGTTGTAAAGAGTTTTAAGAGAGATCTCTGTGATTTTATGGAAGGGGTTTATATTAAACATTGACAGAGACAGAGACTAGGTACCATCTTCTGGAGTTTATTTCAAATAATATGCAATAAAAGCTGAAACAAGAAAGCATAACATTTTTTTTTTTTTTGGAGAGTTATTATTGATTCTGATGCAGGTAGTGTACAATTCAAATTACTTTGCCCATTGTAACGGAAGTGTTGAATGCCTCTGTTGTAGTTTATATTCCACCTTGTCCTTGTCTTTGCACAGAAAGGGCTGTATCTGTGGTTCCCAATGAAATTGACAAAATAATGCATTTAATTCTGGACTTTAGTGAATCATTCTTGATTGGCTCTTTGAATAGTTAAGCTATATGACGTAATAGTATATCATTATATAGCGTACATACACATACATATATATATATATATATGAAAATATTCTGCAGAATAACTCCTGCTGGCATCTAGTCTACCAGTGATGCATGTCTCCCTTTTATTTGTATGTAATTTTTTGTGTGAAGGTTGTAGGGTTGTTCCAAAAGCTAATTTGCAGTCCTTTTGTTTTGTAATCTATTGAGGGAACTCAAGCAGGCAAAAACGCCAGCTTTAATTCATCCTAAATGTCTTCTTTCAGAGCGTGCTACCAAAATGTCGCATTTTGACTTAAGAATGGTGAAACACTTGACTGAGTTTGAGAATTTAAAAAATTAACTGTTTGAATATTTCAGATTTTTCAAATGAAATGTTTCAATATTTGTGTTTAGAACATTCAGAACTTCTGACTATGTGAAAAATATAGATAATTGAGGTAATTGTCTTAGGATGGAACAAAATTTTGAATTATGGGAAAACTGTGGTTGGAATCAGCTGTTGTTTTTATAAGTTATTTTCCAAGTAAGTTGTAATGTTTACTCCTTTCTCCCCCCAGCCCTCCTTCTATAATAATCCTTTCCTTCTGCGTAAGAAAATGTATGTGGATATTTTAGGCATACTTAAACTTTGTAAAATTTTCTATAGTTTTCCATTTTGTATTCCAGACCAAAAAGGAAACTCTGGGAGATACTCTTTACAGAAGGCAGCACGGTAGCTTTTTTATATCTTTGGATACAGGACAGTAACAGTGCTAATGACCTCATATTGAACTAGCAGTTAAAGATTCTAGGTTCTACACTGTATCTGCTGTTTTATCTTCTAGCATCACATTTGGATGTTCCTTTGGGAAAACTGTGCCTTAGGGTAGCTTCAGAAGAGCCAGAATTGTACTAGAAGTATGCAGTAAATTCCAGTATGCCATTTTATGTCTAATGATAGTGCTCTGGGAACAAGTGAGTTACTAGTGTTCATATATTAACTGTTGAATTTTTCACCTGGATTTCTGAGAAAACGAGGTATATGGGGTCACATTGCCTTTCTCCCAGACTCTCAACTGTAGTAACTTTTGACGCCAGTTTTGGTCAAATTTGGCTGGAGGTATAGGTCTCAAATATTAAGTTTCATGAAGATAAGCTGCTGCATTGGTGGGCAAGACTCTATTATTCTCACTGAGGGAAATGCTGTA